GGATGACCTTTCTTCACCCTTGGTCCCCAATCATTCATTTCAGTGGCGATGTGAGCTGAGCCATATCCGACCAGGTCATGGGACGCGGGAAGGTGTAACATCGGTCGTGACACTGGTCGGCGAACTCGTCCGTTGTTTGGGACCTATAGGAGGCTGGCATAGACTTAGCTGGGACGCGATGGGGCATGGGACATGAAGGGCTGGGACGTGTGATGAACTGGGACGCAGCACGAGTTGATCAAGGATGCGGCCCGAGTTGCGGGTCCGGGGCAATACCAATCAAAGTATCGCTCGGATCCCGACCGGTGTTAGGAGGACATGGGACACATCTCAAAGACTTTTGGCCGCGAGGCACTTTGGCTCAAACACCGATCATGTTTTCCAACCAATATCGTGACCAGTGTTAGGGTCACTTCGGCCTTGGTTCCAGATTTGGCTAGCATGGGTCATAATGTTTGACCAGTATTTTGTCCAGTGCTTCGAACTTCATTTTCTCTTTCTAGATACCTCAGAATTGAGATCTAAATGATGTTCTGTAATCTTGAGATCTAGATTGTTTCGAACGGTATAAAGAATGTCTCATGTTTCCATGTGGTTCGTCTTGAGAAAAAGTTTGAAGTTGGCTCCTTACAGATTCGTAACCTTCTTCTTCAGTCTTGGAAAATTGATCATAACTTCAAACCATAATTGCAAATTACGTTTTGCTTTTTTCTGTAGCTTCGTATGACTGTCTCCTATTAGTCCCCCAAATTTCAGATTTTTCTGGGTTGATCTGATAATCCGTTTGTGCCTTGAACCAGAACAGGTTTTGTTCTATCTCCTTCTCTTCTTTCTTCTTAAAAACATATATTTTTGTATTTTTATAAATTTTTGTAAAAATCTGAAAAATTCATGATTAAAAAAACCAATAAGTAATAAAAATTTGAAATTAAAGACTCTAAGAAAAATAAAACCAAATATGGGTTGTCTCTCATAAAGCGCTTGTTTTAAGTCTTTTAACTCGATTCCTTTTTGTTTTAAGCATAGGATGGCTCCACTAAATGAATTGAGACTCCTTTAGCTTCTCTACACTCTGGACCGGATGGTTTGAGGCTCCATCTATTAGCATCTTGATGGCTCTCACGAAGAACAATCGCATCGTGAAAAAATTTCATCATATTGTTGATCTTTTCTACGATGAATTCTTTATCTCTCTCCTTCAAATCCGTGGGGATCATTATTTTTAAGTTGGGCAAAAGATTTGAGGACCTTTTGTGTTTGATCTCGACATGAACCACATCCTCTTTACATTCCACAAGAGCCAAAGTTGAATTTAATACACTTGGAGGTCTCTTTGCCTTTTGGTTTTGCTGGTTGGACAACATCTTTATGTATGGTTGGAGGGGCTGGAATTTTGGCGTCTTGGATCTCCTTAATCGCATCACCTGGATCTATATAAAAGGTTTCATTAGTGTACATATTGGTACAAAAAGAAACCTTACCTTGTAGGGTTGGATAGATCACTCCTTTGTCGAGTTTAGAGAGAGAGATTTGGTGATTTGTAGAATTTACAAATTCTCCATCGGTTTCAAGGACTGATGAACCAAGAGTCAAAGACATTTAAGGCTCATCTTTAACCTCAAAAACATTGAAGTTTGTTGTAAGCTCCTCTCTTTGATCACACATGTCATCCAATTCAACATCGATGATGCATGTTTCGTCTTCTTGGAGATCTCTTGTAAGCATCTCTCTAAGATGAACCAAACGTGCCTCGGTGCCCTGAAATTGAGCAGGAATAGCATCCAATGTTTCTCCAAGGGCTGAACTAAAAGTCTCGGTCTTCGCGTCAATCTCATAGACCATGTTTTTGAACTCTTCTATGAGTTGACACTTAAACGCTTCTAGTTTATCGTCTAGGATAGTTGAAAAGGCGTGATCTTGTAGTTGTTGTGGTGGTTGTAGATACTCGTAGTGTTGATATTGATAGTCATCCTCACGTTCAAAATCCTCCCAAGGTTCTTGTTGGTACATATGAGCATTGTACTGAGTATTGTTGAAGTATGGCGGTTGATGATATTCATGAGACATTGGGTTATAATCCCCAATGGTTTCATGGTAGTGAGCACTCGCCATTCTCCTAGGATAGAGGTTGTAGTGTTCCATTGATGACTCCCTGAAACAC